CAATTTCAAAAAAACTTTGCAATTAAAAGTTAATACCTTAAAGGAACCTTTTTTGCCAAGATTTTAGGCATTCTCTCTTCTTATGTTGTTTCCAGAAAAAGATTTTCTTTGTATGTTACTGTTTTCATTCTCGTTTTAAAGTTGGTGATGTCTACAGAAAATTATTTCTAATCTATATACCTGAACATCTACCTTTCAAGCTGTAAGCCATAATGTCAGAAGTGTGGGTCATTTGGAAGTGGGGTTTACCATTTATGTTTCAGAACTATGATAACTGCAAAAAGCTCTAGCATTGAATAATGTGAGGTAACATTACGCCCGGCACTTCTATATACGAGAAGATATGAATCCCGGCTAGCAAAGAAACCTCTCGTTTACGAAGCTCTTTGAACCAAGAGTGGTTTGCGATCTGCTCGTTATTATTCTGGAATGCAATATAAGCTTTGTTTTGTTTTTCAATTTTTGCCTCTTTTCAAATACTTGACGAAAAGCTCAACTTATATATCTTATGCTCAAACAAAGATATAGTGATTTTTTTTTTCTTTTACCAAGTGCTGCCCGAGCAAGCAAAGTTAGTTTTGACGGTTAAACATTGCTTTGCACTGGTGGCGACGGAAGGTTTGGAGGTTTGGAGTCAATTTTGAAAAAAAAACCATTGACAAAATTTGGATACTTGTGTAAATTAGTCATAAAAATTAATTGCTTTTCCTGTTTTAAATAACTTCAGAAACGCAGGAAACTGGAAGATCAAAAACACTGAAAGACCAACTAATAAGAGCCTTTTTGTAACCTACAAATTTTCCTTTGGCGTGAAAGAAATCGCAAAATGTTAGATTGGTAAGTAAGAAACGTCACAACACAAAAGAACGAACGAAAGACTGAGGATGAAGTAAAAGACGAGAAGATGAGAGCCACAATTTTCAATGGGCACAAGTCATGATATAGCTATTACACTGTAGAGTTAATAACCAGATTCTTCTTACAATCTCGACACTAAAAAAATTTTTTCTGGTGTTCTCTACTTCTGTATGTCATCAGGTGATGATAATTCAAATCGTGCTTTAAATTGTGCATATGATTATTCTAAATAGTTAAGTTGTGAACTTTGATCGAAAATGACTCCCGTGGCAGATATTGATTCAAAGTCCTTCAAATATGTGCTATTTTTGCCCACTGTTCTTGTCTACAACAAAAACCCGAGGAGGCCTTTCAGTTTGCCACAAACTTAATTAACTCATAATAATATAATAAGCAGAAAATACTAAAGCCTAAGGCTGTTTCTGAATGACAGACAATGAACTTTCATAGTAAGTCGAGATCCAAAGAATCAAAAAAGAGCACGTCTCCATTCTAGAACTTTTTTCAGGACACAAAATTGTGGAAATTTTTTGCAGCTAACTGTGATAAAAATTATGAAATTCTATAGATACTCGATCAGCGTGTTTCTTGGATTAATTACGCGAAATTTAACGAGTGTGTAAATTCTGTTCATCGTAGGGAATATAGCTCAAATGAAATCAATTGAGGCAGTCATCCATTTCTAGCAAGTTGTCAACCCTGCTTGATGATCGAAACCCTCGAAGAACATCGAAAAAATGAAAAGTACTAAAAGAGCTCCGCAACTTTCAAAAAATTACACACAGCCAGTTAACGATTATTACTAGGTCCTACTTCACGATACATTTAAAGAGGTATATGATAAAGTCTATCATCAATTGAAAAAGCTCAAGGACAAGAAATAGTTTCAACAGCGCTGCCCATAAGTAAGTATTCATCTTTCAAATCCAAACCACAAACTGAAATCCAAAGCACTGCAAAAACTGCATAAACGAGATTTAATCAATTTAATACTGATCTTCAAAATCATTCCCTTAGCGAATGGCATTGGTTCCAAATTAGATGTTCAAAAGTTCTCTTCAATGACCTTACACTATCCGGACTGGCTAATTATGAATTAAGGTCATTCCAAACCAAACTTAAGTACGAAATTAAGACGAAAACGAAAGGAAACATAAAATTACTCAGTAAAGACTTTCCTGGCACAACGGGTGGTTTATCTATTGTTGTGTTGCTACGCGCGTTGCTAAACTACAATAAGGTGCATTATCATTGAAATAGCCCATTGAATTTTGCCTTGATAAGTCACTTTTCTGAAATAATGAGAGATCTTAAAGTGCATAAATCTAGAAACCTAAAGGATGAATAACTCATGTGGCAGACGTGTGGAAATAATATTTTCTGAAGCTTTCTGAAAATACTGCAATTTCGTAATTATCGGGCATAAAACCCGAAGATTGATTACCGCACTCATCGCCCAGGCAGCAAGTTTCCCCGCACAATTACTTTAGTCACACCTTAATGTTTGACTCACAATCCAATGCAGACAATGACTTTGCAAAGGCGCCGATTTGAAAATGGAACTGTAATAATTTGCATTCGGTCAAGTCCTACTTGGTGTCATTAAGCATCGGCGGGTGTTGATTAACTTACTTTTGTTTGAGGTGGGGAGGGGTGGGGAGAGAAATTGAGAAACGAAGTGGTGAGCTAACCCAAGATCCTTGACTCGACATCACTGACAGTATATTTCGTCTTTTGAATATAAAACATAACAATTGTTTTAAACCTTAACATTGATCTCTCTCCTCCCCTCCCTTCTCCTTTTCTTTAGTGCAGTGATAGTTTATCTATGCGTTTCGCGGGTAACCGTATTGAACGCACGTGACATTAAATGATTGGTTTTTGCCCACGCAATTATGTTGCATTGTTTAGAACAGTATACCACACATACATTAACTTAAAGAAAAGCACGACTCTATTAACAGTTTTATTGTCTTGAATTTCTTGTAAAGAACTGAGCATTTGGAAGTTCCTAGCCCTATATATCATGACTAAACTCCGTTTGCGATCGGCGAAAGGAAATATAATTGTTTTCAGTCACAAGAGAGTTTCTATTAATTTTCAGACCAGAGATCTTTTAACAAGCTTGACACAGCTGTTTGGTGTCGTGACGTTTGCGAACAACTGTAATTCAAACGTTGATCCTATAATTTTTCTGGTATAAACACAAACACGAGCGAAAAGAACAGGTCCTCATCACGAAATGAACGTTCAACCAAGCACGGAAATCATTAAATTGACAAGCGAAGTGCACTGTAACGAAGCGCAGCCTATATGTATGGAATGGAGACAGAATTTATTCATGTTTCCCGTGAAACGTTTGAAATAAATGCATGAGCCTTTAAAAAAAAATTAATTCTTGGGAAGTCTATTGCACACAACCCAATGAAAACCAACCGCAATAATTTGCTAAATACTGTTAGAAAACGATCGTGCGTTTTTTTACCTCAATCGATAATAATTTAAAAATACATAAATATATATGTATATAAATATACATATATACCAAGAACGTTATGTAACTGACGGAATCAAATTACGTTATTGAAGAAAGAACCAAAACACCGAAATCCGCCTGCAATTTGAAGCCGTTACCACTTCTTACATTTTCTATTTTCACCTCAGAAAGCCAATGAGCAAAGAAAATGGAAGCATCAATAATGTATCTCACGAGAGCGGGCTGGAATAGATTATCACGACAACAATGGTTTAATTTACACTTTTCGCTCCCCCTAGGTGACTGTACAAACACTGCTTGAATTTGGCTGAATTTGCCTAAGTTTTCGATCTTTAAAGAACTGCAACCGGCCTTTGCAAATATACTAACCTGTAAGTTATTTTCAAACCGGTAACAACTTTCCACCCGTAACACACTTATAACCATAAATGCAACTTTTCAAGCAAGTCACGCAAGTGCAAAATTGAAAGACGAAAAATCTCGTTAGTGACTGTTTAAGAAAACTGTTTTCCTTCTAGAAAATTAAGTGCATTCGCTTAGAGCTTGCGTAATTAACACTCCGCGACATTTTAAGCCGAAGGATGGTGCGACAAAGGCCTATAGAAATATTATGTTTTTTTTTTCGAAGAAGACATGTGCGCTTTTCTTCTTACAGTTTGATATTTCTGGAGCTCATGTATGTAATGAAAAAAATACATCTCGAGTCCACAAAATGACTAAAACAGTAAGTCGCAGCTTGTTGTCCTTAACCTCGAATTGCCACCCGCTTATTTTGCTTCAGTCACATGTGTGCTTAACTGCCTTCTCACAAAACAATTTTCTATGTTGGAAGTCGAGGAGGATTCCTCGCTTTTTTCATCATCAAAATAAAAGAAGACATTAGACAGCCACAGTTGTTACACCCTTAATCCTGTTTATGATGATATAATGAGAGCGCGGTCTAGAATAGGAACCGAATGTGTTTAGCAGTAATGAAACATTTTCGCGCTGCAGGTGAATTGAGTGTTAAGTTAATTTTGATATTAAGTCCTAGGCTACTTACAGTTACTCATAACCAAAATCTTGAGCTAGCAATTGGTCAAGATCGACACTTGCCAATTGAGGAAATCAAAATCCAAAAATATCGGCAAACTGTTTCTGAGCTTATAGCAGTTGTTCATTGAAGTGTTAATACCCCTTTGGCAAAACAAATGACCGGCTGTTGTCAGTGACTTGTCGCAACTTGTTAAAGACTTTGTAAACTGAATTACATTTCCAAGGAGGAATATTTTAGCCTAACTTTTGCCGAAAATACCGCCAAATGAATTTCGTTTCATATCTGCGTTATGCGTCTACACGTATAATTGTTTCGAAAAGATATCAGCGAAAAAATGGGGTAAAACTTTGTAAATATGTACTCTATATTGAATACGTAATGTTTGATTACAAGATAAACACGCTTGAAGAAAATTATATAGACTACTTTTTCGCCAAAACGGCTGAGGTTGAGAATGAGGGATTCAAACCTCTGGGACGAGTCATTAAATATTTTCTAGTGAGTAGGTGTTAGAGACCGCTTATAGTTCAAAAAGGAAAATTAGAGATCGCGAAATTAAGGCACTTAATAAATCATAAGAGAATTTGTAAGTAAACCGCTATAACGTACCTCAGAAGTCCGAATATTGAATCACTCAATGCTCTCTTGCCTGGTTTACAGTTTCGCTCTTTCGAATATCCGTTAAGTATCCTCTTGTTTCGAACTCTGAAGTGTTTCGACGCGTTTTCGAAACTTTTTGGTGTTGATCCAAACGCCACATAGGCGATAATATAAAAGCCGACAATTACATTGTATTAGGCGATTTCATTGTTTCGTAAGCTGTCGTCACACCTTTTGTATACAATACAAACAGCTCTCCGTTCTAACCTAATGTATTCAAATTTGCCGTGGCCAGTATTCACCACACCAATGTCGATATCACGCGATATTAGAATAGGAAAGGATAACAGATGATTCGGATGACTTTGTTGAAACCTAGACTCATTTTACAACAAAAACCCCGCGCTTCTTTTAGAGCGCGCGAAAAAAAATTACATTTTCATTGGAGCTGGTGGGACAAGCTACGTGTTTACATATTCCACATGAATCAGTCTTTTATTAATGGCACCCTGTCGAAATGAACTGCTCTTCAGTTGTTTCAAAGCAATTGATCTAATTGAAACCGAAAACAAGTTGCTGGGTTTTACCTTGGTTTGTCTCGCTGAAGCGCCGAAATGACCTTTTAAAATCGCTTTCCTCGATGATCTGGCTTGCCTCGTTCGCTTTGTCATGCAAATTATAGCTTCATGATTTTTGATCGCCTGAACTGTTTCGTGCGTTCAAGTAAAAAAAGAATTAAATTCTTACAAGTTGATTTTCGTGTAAACAATAGTACGATCGAAAGGGTTAAAAGTGGAGGATTTTGGTGAAAATAAAGCACGAGTTTTGCTTTTAGAAGCCGAAATTTTCGTAACTTTGTTGATACCCAAGTGATCTTTCGACACGTTCCTTTTTAAGAAAAACCAATGGGAAGAGAAAAAATAAACTATCGAATCTAATTGGTGCGTGTATTGTTTGGTTGAATCTTAAGAGTTATAGTCATTGAACCTTGACACATTTTCATAGCAAATCTGTAAACACTTTCTTAGTTATGTTTTGATTTCGATATCAATTCACAATTAAAATATTAGAGTTGTGTGATTCACACTTGTTTCAGAACGTGATACGTTATACCGGAATCGATGTGAAAAAAGCGTGTAGACTTTGCTATATCTACGTGCACAGGTAAAGAATGGGGCCTTTGATTGATATTTATAGAGCGTGTAAGCTCATTGCCCGCGAATCCCGTTTATCTTTTTCATTACGAACAAAGCAGATGATTTAAACCTTGTACGTGAACGTATTCCCCTTTTCAATGATTACTCGGAAAGGCGGAAATTAGCCATTTCTTCGATTTCCTGTTGATTTTATGTACGGAAAAAGTTTTAAGATATCACCGAACTAGCTATTCGGTGCATTTAAGTTCAAATATCTCTTCGATCAGCAGTTAATGCGCTAGGATTTGCCTACACCTGAAAGTTCTTAAGTACCGAGGTTCCTAAATTCTAAGAAGGGCGAGCTTTCTTAAGACGCTCGATGAATAAAATGCTTCGGGGTTTTCCGCCTCTTTGATTTTTTTTGTAAAAGCTTTGTATATCGAACAAGTAAATGCATTTTTGTAAAGTTACAATAAAGAGGGCGCCATTGTTGCGAGGCGCTTTATTTCTACTAATGTCAATCAATACTACACTGAATGAATCTACTTTCATTAACCAGTGTAGTGTAAAAGCTTTCGTGAGTTGGGGTGGAGTGCTAAAATAGATCGACGTGGTACATACGCGAATCGTTTCTAAACGACCTAAATCCCGTAATCCGAGCGAAAAGAGCCGAAAAACGCAAAATATAATATTGTGCCTTGGAATGGAAACCTCCGATCTTTCTTGATACTCATATGAACAACCGTAACTGTATTTGATGCGTTACTCTAATATCTGAGGCACGTGCATGGAACGTAGGTTATATAACTAATAAATTTTGAACTCGATTACTTGATTCATGAGAGCACTTTTTTGTTCCTCTAAAGATTCATGTCTTCAAAACAATTAATTGAAACCCACCGTTTCTTGTCATCTTAAGTGGAAAACAAAATGTTCCCAGACACCTGGAACCTCCGAAATAAACGAAACAGACCTGCGTCTTATAATGACTCATTGGTCCAAGTACCCCTTGAGTACACTACACGCATCATTACATTTCAAGAGTTTCGACCAGAGTCGGTTATTGAATGAAAAAAAGACGGCATTCCGACAGAGCAGTCACGGAGACTAACTTATAATTAACTTTTTAAACCTTCGAGCAATTTAAAAAATATTTTCTAATAGTTTAAATAGCAACACGCAATCCTAAAACTTCCATCTGTGAGTATTTGCACGCGAACGTCGGTTGCCTTCTCAGAAAATTTCTTCTGTTCTCGACGCTTTCTAACTGCTTAAATTAACAGACTTTTTGTAGCTTTATATGAAAAATTATAACGGAATTCCTTTCGACTGCCACTCTATTTAAACAGCACGGTGTCCTTTTGATTCTAGAGTTCTCCAATGAAACTCTTAGTTTGAAACTTACACTGATTTTTGACGACTCGACTTAGAATAGCCGTTTAAAGATCTCGAATTTCGTTAATGTTATTAGCAATTTAATGAATGACCCAGTTTTAACGCTCTCCGAAATCCTTAAGGAAATTTGCGACGAACTATGGGTTTTGGTCGCTAACAACGATAGAGAATTGTGTGAAATAATATCCTGCAAGTAGTTTTTCCAACCGCACTTAAGAATGAGTCAACTTTAAATTTGGATGATATTCGCTTTCTAAATGTAAACCATTCAAACCACCGAAAAACTCCTTTGCATTAGGGAAATTCTTTTCATACTTATATTTCACCTGGGAGCGAAGATGTCTTTTGATCAAATTACGATATCAACCTGGTTATATCCACTTGTAGTTTTCATTTTGGCAAGACTTTTCGCCGGCCCATCGCGGAAACTTGTCTAACTAAAATCGCATATTCTGCCTCAGGGCGTAAATCTGTAGGATTGCACTCTCAAAATTCTTTCATTTTTTAGAACAAATCTTATGTCTGACCTTTGTCGTTAGCGATCATTTGGCATGTCCAGTGCGTCTGTTAAAATTGCAAATTTTCTTAGACTAAGAACAAAAAAATCTTTCTCTTTACCTCCACATGATGGGCTACCAGAACTAAATCAGGATTGAGACGATTCTGTTTCCTGCATCATACTTGCGTAGCCAATGCAGATAAAGATCGTTTTATTTTTAAGTATATTAAATCGTCAAAAAATATGTTTTATTTAGCGCTCCTGGAAATTTAGCACAGTGACAACATACGCTGTCTTCGTCCAGGGGCTTGATTATCATGTGATTACGAATTATGGTCACGCAATTGGAAAAGGTGTTTATTGTTTGTAGTAATTTCAAACGTGTGTTTTAGGGTAAAATCTAAATCATTATTAACGTGTCTTCTAGTATTGTGCAGCCGGTAATACGTGATTACATGTTCCACAAGATATATAAAGAACAACTATGGATCGGTGTCAGTGAATTACTTATGTACATATGTGTATCCGCATGCAAAAAAAATCTTCAGTAATTTCGCTTATTTAAGTAAACGAACCAAGACAATGAATGATTCTCTATCAATCACATTATCTCAATTAATCAGGTTATTGTCAAACAGGGACAACTAAAAGAACTGTCTGGGGGTGACTTTTGAAGTGCCGCTAATAGTGGAAAAAAACGCTGGCCTTAGCTTGCATGTGGTACTAAGCAAATTATCAAAACTCGCCTTTTCTCATGCAAAATTGTTGTAATTTTTTTTGGGGGGAAAATATTCATGAAGTTCACTCGCATCCCGATTTTTAAACATAGTGACCTCTCGGTCTGTTCATGTTTAAATTTTGATTATGGCAGAACGTGTAAACCTTCCAAATTCTTAACCATCTCATTTCGATCTTTTAAAGTCAATTTTAGTAACTTCTTTCTCGCTGGAGGCAATTTGCATTTATGTAAGCTACTTTCTTTTGATCTTTAGCTAACTCTCTCCCGAATCATCTGCTTACAGTAATTTAAAAAAAAAAAAAAGTTCTAAGTTCCGTTACAGCAGGACCGAACCACGGTAAAAAAGGAAATTAATTACTAGTTTTTAATCAGAACAGGAGGAGGTGTGCAGTTTCGTAACGTGCTTTCTTTGTTCTATTCCGACTTTCAAACAAGCTCATGACTCGTTTCATCCATTTTACAACCAAAAAAAATAGATCTCATAACCTCTATTAATCCCTCTTTGCCGAATTAGCCTCGTCTGACCTAAGGCAAATTTTAACTATATTGAACTTTGGACAAAAAGTTCTGCTTAGCATTTTTCTAATATATGTCATGGTCTGACATATTCCGACCTCTACAAATACGCTAACTGTGAAAGGCTGTGTTGTCTTTTTGTTAACGATAATATTCCAAATGGAATTATATTTTAGGAATTATTGATTATAATTTTAGCTACAGCTATCTTATTATTGATTGCAAGATTACGTTCGTCTTTATTGAACTTTAACTGTTAATTTAAACACTTGAAGATTTCTGTGGTTAGGTCTCAACTCACAAGTCGCCATATAATGAAATAATCAATGTCTGAGCTGCAGATTTCAGGTTACAAAGGGGAACGTCACAGCGGAACTGCAATCAGCGGCAGTCTCGAATCAGAAAGTAAGCCCAGCATGAGCTAGGTTTTGAGGCCTTAACAGGGTGGATTTTGCCGCCAAGCGCTACACGCAATTTCACAACCATGATTTTCATAAATGATAGTTTTCTATCATCAATATTTTTAGACCAAAACGGGAACTGACCAACTTCTCCAAAAATTGCAGCCTTTTACTCCTTTTTCGGCAATCATATGAAGCCGAAGAAAACTAGAGACGAAGACACCAAGATACCATGCACTCCATTATGTTTCTTTTCACACTTCTATGATTTCTTAGAATACCAAAAATGAAAATATAATTATATAGCTAAAGCATCTTACAGTATCACATAATACTACTTAAGCGCGTTCCAGCACGTGGCTGAGAGGTTTTTTAGAAAATAAAGTGGAAAAGAAATCACTTTATAAAATAAGCCGATAAAATGGATAACTGCGCTGTATTTTTGGCAAACTATAATGCTTACAGCGCCTCTCTCGACACAGGAGTGTAAAAGGTTACCATGCACCAACCTTTCCGG